TGAGGGACAGCAACCAGGCCCAGAGTTCAAGCCCCACTACTGGACCCTCCCCCCGCAAAAAAAGAACGCTATTCTAAAATATATATATATATATATATGTGTGTGTGTATAAATGATAGGAGTCATGAGGAGCTAAGACTTCAAAGCATACCATTTTTAAGGATATGGATAAAGAAAATGTAGTTGACTTCTAAAAGAACCTAAAAAAAAAAAAAATCAGTGATCCAAACTGTTTGCGCTAGCCAGGTATGGTGGTATGCACCTGTAGTCCCAGGTACTCGGGAGGCTGAGATGGAAGGATTACTTAAAGGCCAAGAGTTTGAGTGGGGCACCAGTGGCTCACATCTATAATCCTAGCTACTCAGGAGGATCAAGGATCTGAGGATCAAGGTTCAAAGCTAGTTGAGGCAGAAAATTCCGAGACTCTTTATACCAAAAAACAGGTAATGAAGGGCTAGGACAGTAGCTCAGTGGTAGAGTGCTTGCCTTGCATGCCTGAGGCCCTGGGTTCGATTCCTCAGCACCACATAAGCAGAAAAAAAAAGGCGGAAGTGGCACTGTGGCTCAAATGGTAGAGTGCTAGCCTTGAGCTGAAGAGCTGAGGGACAGCGCCCAGGCCCAGAGTTCAGGCCCCACGACCGGACCCCCCCCCCAAAAAAAGCCAGACTTGAGTGAAAAAGCTAGAATAGAGTATGAAGCATGGAGTTCAAGCTTGAGCTGAAGGAGAGCACCCAGGCCCAGAGCTCAGACCCCAAGACTGACAAAAAAAAAGCCCAGGTAGTGAAGGTGTGTGGCTCAAGTGGTAGAATGCCAGCCTTGAGTGAAAAAGTTAGAGTGTGAAGCATGGAGTTCAAGCTCCAGTACCATCACATACACACAAAGAAAAAAGAACAGGAGTTTGAGGCCAGGCAGAGCAATACATCGAGGCCCCACTGTAAGGAAAACAAAAACCTGTTTAGCTCTCCAAATAAACACCACACAAAACATAAAGGTACACACTATATATGCCAAAAAATTGTTTAGTAAAACAAGTCCTAATATATACATACCATTGCACTTGTTCTGGTCCCAAAATAGTTTAGTAACTTCTTTCTTGGTCCTAAGGGAATTCCCATTTCCTGAAGATCTTTGTCTGTACATAAAGCCTAATCACAGAAAACCAAACTATCTTTTATTTCTAGGCAAAATAAAATCAATTAAATGTCCTATTCCCTGAGAGAAATAAAACCTAGGCACATTGCTTACTTTTTTGCGGGGGGAGGGGGGGAGGGAGGAGAGGAGTGTGTGTTTGATGCTAGTTCTGGGGTTTGAATTCAGGGTCTAGTGCTCTTGTCTGGCATCAGTGTATGTGTGTGTCTATGTACATGCCCATCCTGGGGGTTTGCACTCAGGGCCTGGGTGCTATGCCTGAGCTTTTATGCTCATGGCTGGTACTTGAGCAACATCTGCAGTCTAAGTCCTAGGCACTTTGTTGTTCTTTACTCCAAATTGCTCTGACTCTCTAGTGGTACAATGTCATTAATAGCTTGATTGTTTTGATCATAACATATATATGAGTAGGAAGAATCAGTTTTGCAATATAAATAACATTGTGGTTTTGTTTAAAAAAAACAAGTCTAGGAAAGCTAGGCATCTAGTGACTTTATGACAAAAACCATCTTGGATTTCCACATTCACTTAAAATATCACCTTCCTAAGGATTATACTCCTATACTAATGGACACAGGCAGTGAGAATATACAACAACAACAGAAGCGTAACAATTAAACTCTCAATTTAAGTAGCATATATCTTAAAGGCAAGACTTCCCTTGCCTTCTCAACACATGGTTAATTTATCTTATTAATCATTTTTATGCTACTGTGTACTTGTTAGTTCTCATAGCTGTGATTATGTTTGTGATTATGTAATGTGTCTTCCCCAGTGAAATACAAAACCTTTTAGGTCAGGAACCATGTCTGTGTTGTTACTAGTCTATCCTCAGTACTTGACACAGTATGCTAGTCATAGTAAATAAGCATTTACTAAATACCTGTTAAGTGAATGTCTGTATCACAAACCAGAAAAGAACATAACTAAAGTTGGAAAAGAACTAATAAGCAAACAGCAACAACAGCTCTAGATATGTACAATAAAGACCTGAAATAAGCCTGGCACCAGTGGCTCACGCCTGTAATCCTTAGCTACTCAGGAGGCTGAGATCTGAGAATCGGGGTTCAAAGCCAGCCCAGGCAGGAACATCCGTGAGACTCTTATCTCCAATACACCACTCAGAAAACCAGAAGTAGTGCTGTGGCTCAAGTGAGAGTGTTCACCTTGAGGTGAAGAGCTGAGGGACAGCCAGAGTTCAAGCCCCACGACAAAAAAAAAAAAAAAAGAATTAGGTCTTAAGTGATTAACTGTTTCAGCTTTTTTTTTTTTTTGGTCGGTTATGGGGCTTGAACTCTGGGCCTAGGCGCTGTCCCTCAGCTCTTCAGCTCAAGGCGAGCACTCTACCACTTGAGCCCCAGTGCCACTACCAGTTTTCTGAGTGGTTTATTGGAGATAAGAGTCTCATGGACTTTTCTGCCCAGCGATTCTCAGATCTCAGCCTTCTGAGTAGCTAGGATTACAGCGTGAGCCACCAGGCTCGGCTTATTCTAGCCCTTCTGTTTTCACTAATCTGCACTAGTTAGTCTGACTTTGCTCCACTGATATATAATTGCGAAATCATCTCAATATGGCTCATCTAAACTTTGAACTGCCACATAGCAAAGATCATTTTATATGATAAAAGAAAATAAACAATGATAAAGAATAGTATTAATGATAGAATTTGTGACTAAACCCCTCTGTATAGTATTTTCACAATAAGAAATAAATAAAAATTTAAAAAAAGAATTTATGACTAATGTTTCTAATGAGCAGGTCCTTAGTAATACACATGAAAATACAGAAAATGCTTTGACACTAAATTTTAAAAGGTTATTGTTACCAGAGCTTCCTTATCTACTTTCTCCTTCTCAAAGATACTAAAATATTCAGAGAGGTGAAGTCTCTTCAAATCTTCCTCTAGTGTTCGTGTATCTCCTTGATCCATAACGGTAGAGGGTGAACCCTAAAAAGTAAATCATAAATTTCATATCCTCAAAATTTATTTCTTTTATAAATACCATTTTACTTTATGAAATACAGTATATAAAATTCTCATGGTAATATATCATTTTTTTTTGGGGGGGCAGGTCAGTCGTGGGGGCTAAACTCTGGGCCTGGGCACTGTCCCTCAGCTCTTTAGCTCAAGGCTAGCACTCTACCACTTGAGCCACAGCACCACTTCTGGCTTTTTTTTTCTGCTTATGTGGCACTAAGGAATAGAACCCAGGGCCTCATGCATGTGAGGCAAGCACTCTACCACTGAGCCAACTTCCCAGCCTCTACATCTTTAAATATTAAATGTTATACAAATGCAAATGAAGAATGATCTAAATTTTTGCAGTTCCAACTAAAAATACTTTGTGTGTGCCAGTACTAGGCCTTGAACTCAAGGCCTCATGCTCTTGCTTTACTTTTTCCACTCAAAACTAGTGCTCTACCCCTGTAGCCAATGTATACTTCCAGCTTTGTGTTGGTTAATTAGAAGTAACAGTTTCATAGACTTGTCTTCCCCTGCTGGATCTGAGCCAATCCTCAGCTCTCGGCCTCTTGAATAGTTAGGATTACAGGCCTAGCTTTAAAAACATATTTTTACATGAATGAGTAAATGATGTTCCATCATTACTAACAAGCATTTATTGACAAAAAGCCCTTATCTTGGGGCTGGGAAGGTGGCTCAGTGGTAGAGCCCTTGCCTTGCATGCCAGAGGCCCTGGGTTTGATGCCTCAGCACCACATAAGCAAAAAAGAAAAAAAGCTGGAAGTGGCGCTGTGGCTCAAGTGGTAGAGCGCTAGCCTTGAGCTGAAAAGCTGAGGGACAGCGCCCAGGCCCAGAGTTCAGGCCCCACGACCAGACCCAAAAAAAAGAAAAAAAAAAGCCCTTATCTAGAAAAACTCAAGGTCCAACAGGAAAAACACAACACTTAAAAAGTGTCATATTTGCTAAGTTACAAATTAATACTATCAGTAATATATGTTCATAGGACTTTGTTTTATAGCTATGTTTAGGGTAAGCCAGGTGCCAGTGGCTCACATCCTAACTACTCAGGAGGCTAAGATCTGAGGATGGCAGTTCGAAGCCAGCTTGGGCAAGAAAGTCCGTGAGATTCTTATCTCCAAGTAACCACCAGAAAACAAGAAGTGGCACTGTGGCTCAAAGTGGCAGCTGCTAGCCTTGAGTGAAAAAGCTCAGGAGGGACGTGCTGTCCCTGAATACAAGCCCCATGACCCACCAAAAAAAAAAAAAAGATAGGTTGGAGGTATAGCTCAACTGGTAGAACACAAAACCCAAGTTCAAACACCAATATCACCAAAAAAAAGAAAAAGATACATGTTTAAATATCAAACCCCCTCCCTTTGCTTTCAAACAGAATTTCTGTAAATCATCCAATTCTTTCTTCATTTCCTTACATGCAAACTCCAATTAGCTTAATGATTCTACAATTCTATTAATGTGTCAATAGTGCTTTATTTATGGAAGGAAATAAGATACTAGCTATGGCTAGGTTATGATATCACAATTATCTGTAGAAGCTGATTACTATCCTACTTCTATCAGTCAAGAAAAGTTAAGAGTCAGACAAATAAAGTTAAAATGAATGTAAAATAATTAGTTAAAATAAGTGTAAAATTAACATCATGATATGAGTCTAACTTCAGCCAAAAACATTCATCTAAAATTTTTACCATGAAATACTATAAGAGAATCTATCTAAACAGCTAAATTACCTTTTCATTGTCAATATCCTCCAAAGAATCTTTCTGATTTGTTAGGATATCAAACAATATAAGTGAACCTACAAGTAAAATAGAAGAAAGGAACAACTTCTGAGCATTAGCACTAAATAACTGTCTTTTTCTTTATTTTTTTTTTTTTTGTCAGTTGTGGGGCTTCAACTCTGGGTCTGGGTGCTATACATGAGCTCCTCAGCTCAAGGCCAACACTCTACCACTTGAGCCACAGTGCCACTTCCGGTTTTCTGATGGTTATTTGGAGATTAGAGTCTGATGGACTTTCCTGCCTGTGCTGGCTTTGAACGTGATCGGATCTGAGTCTCCTGAGTAGCTAAGATTACAGGCGTGAGCCACCAGAACCCAGAAAAATGATTGCCTTTTATACAAGAAAAAGTCATAAGCCAATAAAAAAGTATCTTTTCAATTTACCACCACCCTTCTAATGCCTTCCAAATTCTTCAGCACAGACCATTTCTAGATCTGTAAATCTAGAAAACTCATAGAAGACATTGTGTTTCAAAGCCAGTGTCCTTTCAAGTGATATTTCTCTCTGGTTACAGAGAATTCAAGTGTTACCTAAACTATGACCAGCAATAGAGACACCCCCTTTGAAGTTAGGATTCCGCTGCAGAAAAAGTGTGTATATTCGGTTCATCTCAGAAGCTACTGTGTCCACAATAGTCTGACAGTAGGTGGGGCTATTGTAGAAGAAGACATCCAGAATAGTGTCATTGGTGAAATGCCTGAGGCGGTTAATGCTGGGTAGGGTTATCCGCTGCAGGTCTCTGAAAAAAGAAATTATATTATAAGCAGGAAAACCTAAATACATTCTACAGCCAATTTAAATTATTATGTAGTTTGGTGTCTAAGCTTAGACTCAGCTATTTAATAATAGAAGAGATGATCAACATATAGGAAAAACAGAAGACAGGACTGGAGTGAGGCTCAACTAATACTCACTAGACAACATAGCTTTTTCAAGTATAAATTGCAAGAAAATATGGGGAACTGGGTGCTGGTGGCTTATGCCTGTAATCCTAGCTATTCAAGAGGCTGAGATCTGAGCATTGCAGTTCAAAACCAGCCAGGGCAGAAAAGTCAGTAGACTCTTATCTATAATAAACTACTCAGAAAAAGCCCAAAGTGGTCCTGTGGCTCAGTTGGTAGAGTGCTAGCTTTAAGCACAAAGAAGCACCAGGACAGCGCCCAAGCGCTGAGTTCAAGCCCCAGGACCAGCAAAAAGCAAAAACAAACACAAAAAGAGAAATATGGGAGAAAAATCCCAGGAATTGGATCCCAGTTTAAAATATGCATATGTATATATATGCGTGCCATATTTTATTTGACAATTGGACATTTTAACACTGATTGGATATCTGATGATATAAGAATATTTTTAGGAAACTTGGTAAACCAAGACAGGATCTTAAATTTGAGACCAAAATAGTCTACATTCAGAGACCATGATTCAAAAATGCCAAAAAGAGCCAGGCACTAGTGCCAGTGGCTCAGGCCCATAATCTTACCTACTCTGGAGCCTGAAATCTGGGAATCAAGGTTCAAAGCCAGGGCTGGGAAGGTGGTAGAGCACCTGCCTTGCATGCATGAGGCCCTGGGTTCGATTCCTCAGCACCACATAAGCAAAAAGAAAAAAGCCGGAAGTGGCGCTGTGGCTCAAGTGGTAGAGCGCTA